GAGAGAGAGAGAGAAACAGAGAAACAAAGGGGATAGAGGAGAGGAGAAACATTCGAAAAGACAACAGGTACAATAATTTTAATCACTGATTCGATTTGGTACCAAAGGAAAAGCTGATTTTGCGCCTTGCTCTACCTTTGCTCTTTGTGGAGACACTGTCCCCGCTCTCTTCGCTGTTCGAAATCTTTAACAGGCTGGTCCGTTTCTCGAGATCCGGACTGGGATCGTTGATGTTGCTCGACGCGGTCGCCGACTCGTTTTTGGGAATCTCGCTCAAATCGCTTGGAACATGATCCATGTTCTCTTCCGTGCTAGGTGGCAACGCGCTGCTTCTAGTTTTGCAACAAACCACGCAGACCCGATCCTTTATATTGTTTATAAAAGTGCAATGCTCGCAAGCCCATTCCTCTTTGGGAATCTCCATCGTCGTGCCTCTTTCATTTCCATCTTTCGATGAATTTTCCTGATCCGCGTTCGTCGTTGCTCGTTCCCGCTTTTCTTCTTTTCCTGCCGATCTTCCTGTTCTTTCCAGACGTTTGATTCCTTCATTCCCCGTCTTCTTTGGATCCTCCCCATCCTCCCCGCTTCGTTCTTCGCCGTTTCAACGTTGGAACGTCCAACATCTCGAGCCTCCTCCTGATTCTTGCTCACGAGCTCGTCGTTTTCACGAATTTTTCTGGGGTCTCCCTCTCTAGACGGGGTCCTTTTTACGTTCTCACGAGACAACGCTCGTTTCAAAGAAGATCTTTCCATTTCCTCGGACGAAGTTTGCCTTCTCAACGAAGGTTCCCTCTTCGTGGCCACGTTTCTATCTTGCGAGGACTCGCGACTCGGAAGAAGATTTCTCGCAGCGCGTGGTGCGTCGCCTTCGACATCTCTGACAGGCCTTGCATCGTCGATCCCCTGGATCTTCTCGGGAAACGAGTCTCTGGAAGGTGTTCTTCTTCTCGTCATCTCGTGTGCATCGCTGTCGATGGAGGATCTTCGAGAATCCCTGCGAGAAGATCTTTCGAGATTGTCCAAATTCACGATGTCCCTTCTCACGGAGGAGGCTCTTCTCGCTTCGTCGTCCCTTCGTCGTGGAAGCATTTCCGATCTCTCGAAATGATCGTCGGAGGAGCTGGTCATTCTGGATCGTGTCTGCAAGCTGGATCTTCTATCCGACGAGTCGTCGTCGGTGCTCCGTTTTCGACGATAGCTGCCATTCTGAATGTTGCGATCCAATCGCGAATCCGCTCTGGAGAGCCTGCGATCATCTTGCTCGTATCGTCTTCGCGAATTCAAACTGTTTTTCTGGAATTCATCGTAGCCCTTGGGCGACATGGGATACCGTTTCATCGATTGACTCTCGGACCATTGATCCTCCGTACTGGTAACTACTCTTTCCTCTGACATTAACCTTCTGAAAAAAGAAAAACACAAAAGAACAATCGAACATATAAAAATTTAAGAGACGTTACATCCAAGATTCGTATTCAAGGCTCACTCGCGACGATTCCTGTTCAACAAGTTCCTAGCGCTATCGTCCTCGTGATAACTCCTTTGCCTCGCGCTCCTGGACACGCTTCCACGCCTGGTGCCTCTCGAGCTCTTTGACAGCCTGTCATCGAAATCCGATTCTCCTGAATCTTCGGAGCTCGCGTCGGATGGCGAGCCTTGGGATCGTCTCGATCTCGATCTGGAGGCCAACGACTTTCTAGATTTCAGGCTAGGCGATGGCGAGGCTGCTCTCGATCTTCTGCTCGATTTCACGCTTCTTGCCGGGCTGTGAGGCCTGGACAGGGTGGCCGGATAATGGGGCGGGAGCATCTGGGACGGAGGATATCCCATGGGGTAGGCCCACATAGGTGGATGGTTGAGGCTCATCGTCGAACCGCCCATGCTCATGTCCCATTGAGGATTCGGTGGATACCACATCATTGGCATGCCTCCGGGACCGAGGTGGGCCATTGATTGAGCCTGCAAAGTATAATTCGTCGTCAAGTTATCCCGTTCATCGGCGATATAAAAGGTTACCTGATGCATTCCAGGATTCCACATGTGAGGCGAGGATAAATCGCAAACGCTGGCCGATTGCATCATGGATCTGGGCGGGGGAGGTGGTGGTATCGGGGGAGGTGCGAGTTTCGGGCTGGCAACGCTCAACGGCCTTGTGTCTCTCGAAATATCGGAAGAAGTGTGCCTCCTTCGATTCGCATCCTGCGCTCTCATCGCCTCCTGGTATTTCCTATACCTCTCCTAAACGTTACGTACGTACGTTATATGTTAAACGATTCGCATCTCTCGCCCGTCTATCCTTCATTTTACACATTCGTTTCCTTCGTATTTTATATCGAAGGCCACCGTGAAATGGTATTTCAACGAACGAGCATACGGTGAATGTTTAAACTATTGATTATCCATCCTCGTCATGATACTCGATGAATAGTAGTAACTCTTCAAATTATGCATTCGAGGAATAATTAAGGAGTATAAGTAACTCGAAGAACGTGTAAAATGTTGATCGATGGTCAACCAAGGGTTTAATGCTTACCTGTAGAGTGGACATTTTGTCGGTGCTCGATCCTGTTCCGTCGGTAGTGATATTCATAGATTGCATGGATTTCGACACGGTTTTCGTATCTAACGTGGCTGACAGGGGCCTGGTCGTGTTTGGAAGTGTCCGCTTCAAACTGCCAACTCTCTCGATCAAGGAGAGATTCGTCGATCCCTGGTTTTGCGTCGATTTAGCCTAAGCGCGAAACCTGAACTTTATTACACGCTCGTGCCATCGTTTTTGGGAACGTTGTTCGTGTTTTCTTCGTGTGGAGAAATGTCTCGCTCTTTCTTTTTTATCGTGGATGGAGAGAAAGAAAAGAGAGAGAGAAAAAAAGGAAAAAAAAAAGAAATACTCGAGACAAATAAAAAGATGGCGCGTGCTCGCGATGGTCGAAGGCAGAGGCGCTAAAATTAAATTGCGGCGAGGCTAAATCGATGATAAACAAAGCGTTAGTGAAGAGAATAAAATAAAATCGATGGTGTTCTTGACTCGTCTCGACTCGAGAGCACTGGTTGCAAACTTAAAATAAAAGTGACGTGTGAATTATTGAAAGTTTGATCGATCGGAATAAGGCGACTGCGTTGCTGTAAGCTGAAAAATGATGAACGGTGTGTGGACATGTTTAGTGGACAAAAATTATACATATATATATGTAATGATAACAGCAGTAACGGATACGGGAAATGCGAAACGGTGCGTGATGATCGAGTCGAATCACCGTGTTCACCGTGCTCTGCCATATTCACCAATTCGTGCTTAGCCGAATTCGAGGAGGAAGCACGCAAGAAATCCGCGCGAACGGAAAGAGATTCGCGCGAGATTCTTTTTTTTCTTTTTTCCCGCCGTTACTTTTATCGAAAGAGTGAAAGAGTGAACGGGTTCAGTGAATACGGCAGTAGTGTTTTTGCGGTAACGTGGTGTATTAAGAAGAGAACAACGTAAATATACAATGGATAAAATCTCTATAAAATCTCTCCCTCTCGTTTCCAACTGGAGAACAACAACATCTTATAGACTAATTTTAAAGCTCGTTAAACGGGGCGCGATTAACAATCTTCACTTCGTTGCCTCGGTGTGAGACTAGAGACTTTCTCTTTTACAACGTGTAACAACAACAAGCAACAACATCCATACTCCCGTGTATATATATATATAAATAACAAAAATGTTCATCGAGAAAAACGGGATTTTCGAGCCATCGGAGACGAAGTTGCGACCAATCAACAATTTCACCGCGTTACAATGTTACAACGTTCGAAACGTGAACGGTTTCCAAGATTAATATTGAAAACGAGTAGAACGAATATCAACTACGGAGGAGGAAGTGAAGCGAGGCAACATGATTGCGGGAATAAAAGAATAGGCGTTTCGCGACTCCTCGCAACTTGGTTTCCGTTGGAATCCCGACGGTGAATCGAGAACAGATCTGTTCGATCTCTGGTCTTAAATGAGGGGGGGTCGTCGTCAGCCTGTAAGAAAATTGACGGGGAGGGATGAAAGCTTCAGGCCAGATTGCATCCTACCTGAGCGTTCTTGCGATTTCGCCTGGGTGGCGGTACGGGTGGTGGACTGGAGAAATTGTCCCCTTTGGGCGGCAAGGGTGGCCGTGTTTTCGCGGCGGAGCCAGGAATCAGAATTCTTCTTCGCACGTGGCTCTTCCTTTTCGGATGTTTGTGGTTCATGTCGTCGCAGGCCTCGCAGTAATTCCCGTTGCACGTGTCGCAACGGGCGAACACGTTCTCGGCCCCGCACAGGGCGCACTTGTACGGGCTCGTGGTGGCCGGTGTCTGAGAGGATTTCTGCGCTTGCGGTCGGGTCGGAAATTCGATGATCTCGTAGTCCGGGTCACCACAGTCTCCGGAGAGCGACGGTGGCGGGACTTTGGGCGGGGTCGGTGGTCGGCGTTGCTGCTTTTGATCCATCTCCTTCTGTTGTTGCGCCTTTTCCACATATTTTCGTAATTATTTATTTGGAATCGTGGGGATGGGAAGGATCTACGTACCAGCACCCAGTGGGGCATGGATCTTGCCATGCGCAACCGAGTCGATGGGTTCGAGATGGCCATAGGACGCCATTTTTCAGCTCCCGGGTTCTGTAAGGAAGAAATATCGTTTTTCTTTTTGATTTCAATCAAAGAGGGAGAAGACGGGAACGAGATAAATCTTCCCCGTTGTTTATTCGCTACCGGTACATTTTTGCGCGCGGTCCCGAATCGAGGTGACAAGCTGGCAGCTTTGTTAACTCGCGTTCAGCTGCCAAACGGTACGGCGTATTCGTGTCATCGCACCTTGGGCCGGGCGTCTGACTTCGACCAGACGAGAGAGATTTTTCACGAGTGGATCATTGAAGATCAACGTCACACGCGGTCGATACCACGCCGGAACGGGCCGAAATCGAATCTATTTCTGAAGGAACGAAAAATCGTGTTCCGCGTCTCGAAATAAAATCGAGCCGAACGTCACACGCGGTCATATATCTCCTCCTCGGGTTGACACGGTTACGAAGAAAATATAAATATCGCGTTACGATTCTTACAAATTCATTCAACGTTTCCAGTTGAAAGTTGATTCAGATTTTTCTTTCCAATTCTTTTTCTCTTCGAGAAAGAAGAAGAAGAAGAAGAAGCGAAAGGAAAAATAGAAAGAAAGAAAAAAATTGACTCCTCAATTTCGAGTCGTATTTCGATTCTTTAGCGGAAGAAGAAGAAGATGTGAAAGTTCCAGCCATTGCCGCGGCACACGAGTTCCACATGCATGAATTAGATCCTCGAATTAGAGCCCTACGTATCTTTAGAACGTTTACCCCTTCTGTTCTTCCCGACTGTTCATACTCTTTTGTTCTATGCGGCGATTCTGCCTAGTATAAGAGCAATAAAGTAGCCGATTTCCAAGAATTGTAATTTTAGATCCCCCCACGATCGTCGCGACCGCTCCTCGTCATTTTCGTAGACAAAATTATAAATAAGAGTATAAATAAGAGATAAATATACAAATGTATAATTTCTTATCGACAAACGAAGAATTAATTTTAAAGCAAAAAATTATCACTACATATATATATATATATAAAGTATATTTTTATCATTCGGACAAAGATGTCGTAAAAATAAGAAAAATAAGAAATTTAGGAAATATAAATTCCAATTTCCAGTCAACAAACCCGACGAGTTAATTTTAAGACGAGAATCGTCCCGATAAAAAGCAAACGTGAAACTCTATTTCCCGACAAAATTGCAAAAGTCTACAAGAGTTGGATACCTTCCAAGCTCTAGCTTCTCCCCGCCCACTCGAGTTTCTTCTCCAAACATTTTTCTAACTACGTAATAATATCCCATCCGCGGATCTTTATTATCTTCCCGGTAAAACATCGGCTCCGATTTATACTTGGAATATTCAACACGATCGATCGATCGACCAACGTTCGAACGAAAAAAAAAAAAAAGAAAAATTTCAAAATTTCATCCACGTCGAATCGCGGATTGGAATCGATGGAATATCGATAATTCGTTTCGTTGACAAGCGTGCCACAATTACGAGGATTGTGTGGATACTGTACTACAAAAAACGTAAAAAACTCGAACGTTAGAAGAACGTTACGTCCGTCTTGCACGAAGCAAAAGGAATATCCAGAGATGCTTTCGCAGCGATAATGTCATCGAGATCGTGCACATTTGCAAAAGCTTGGCCAGCATCGCGTGTCTTCTTCGTAAACAATCCGGTTTCCGGTTTGCAACGATTGCGCCAACAAGGAGAGAGGGGGGGGAAAAAGAAAAGAAGGAAACTTCCGCAACGTGCATCCTCTCTTCCGCGGTGCATGGAACACGAAGATTCGCATCGATTGTGCGTTGATGCACTTCCGTTTCACCTCGCGAAAGTAAAACCGGTGAAATTTGCCGGATGGGATGTTCTCCCCGATTCTCGCTGCCTTTCGCTTCGTTCGAGATCTCTGCTTTTGCGACTTTATGCAACACTCGTGGTAGAATCGAGTTGTAATAGAATAGATACTCTACGTTCGATTTTATTATTCGAGAAATAGTATCAAGACTTCTAGCTATCAAAAGAATTATAAGAATTATATTCGAATCCGATTCTATCAAAAATTGATATGCAAAAGTTTACTTATTAAACAAACAATTAGACGAAGCGAGACGGGAAAAGATCGCTCTCTCTCTCTCTCTCTCTCTCTCTCTCTCTCTCCTC